AGACCGCGCTATTTGACTAGCCGAAAGCGAAGTATAATTTGAATGAATTTCTCTATTTGTATCTACTATTCTCACTCAATGGAGAGAACCTCCTGTATAAAAGCTACACAGTAACAAACAACTCGTTATTTGAAAGCTTCTTTAATAAATAAATATAAGTTTTGTATATAACCTGTGTAGAAGTTGACGCGCCGTAGTCATTTGAATGTCTATGCTTCTTTGGAGCTCCCGGCGCACTCATTCGTGATATTTCTTCTGCCAAAATGACATATTTATTCTGACAATGATAAAATGAAAATTATTTCTTATTATGCATGTAATCCTGGGATGTTTACCCAAAGCGAATAAAAAAACAAGATTTGTTGCAATTTTATTCATGTATCTGCCATTAAACTTTGAATGGCTAGCAAAATACGTACAAACTTTCCAACTTTATGAACAAACAAAAATAAGAATGTTCTGTATCAACAACAACACTTCCTAAACATTATCAGTTTCATGAGCATTAATTGCAATTAATTGATCACGTGAATAGGAAAAACAAAGATACAAGTTAAGTTAGCAAAAATGCAGAATACTGACCATTTAAGGTTCAACCATCTTTCGTATCTCATTATTTAACGTATAAACTTCACCTTTCCATCGAAATACTATCGGATATCCATGTTCGTCAAATGTGAAGAGCGGAAACAGCCTATCTGCCGTTTTGGACATTATCAAAGCGTAATCACAAAAGGGCGAATTGTGATATAGACGCCCATTGCTCAGCATTGACAAAGAAGTAGGCTGAAAGGACACAGATCAATCGAATCTTACTTTGATTATATCTAGGAACAAGTAAGTCATTTCAAGTTCTTACAGACTTACCTCGAACGGATAAGTCCTTGCTGATTGTCCAATACGCAGAGCTTTCCCGTCGTTTTGGAAGTCAGTGAATACTATGGGTCGGTCATCACATCTCAGGTAGTTTCGTTCCAAACCACAACGACTTATATAAGGAAAATCATCCTAAAAAA